AATGAAGAATTTCTACTATGGCTACAATATATATAAGTGTCAGTAAACATTTCTATGGTGATAATAAAATTAATAGCTATTTTTAAATATTCTATTGATTATATTAAATACACATCTCGACGGAACATAGATGTCGTTGATCTAAATTCTTCGAGGTAGAGGTCGCTACAGGCACATGACACACTCTACCATCTGATGGACATAGTAAAATAAAGAGAAGTGAGGATTGTGGTTTCCAGAGGATACCATCGCATATGTAGCTCCGCTACAAACTTCGAAACATTCCTCAGAGAAGCCAGAATGTAGTATGTTCTAAAAAAAAAAAAAAAAAAAAGAAATAATGAACGATAAAGACAATATGGAAATTCTGCCACCCTCAAGATGCTACGTGTTTCAGTTCAGGGACCAAAAATATTTAAGCTCAAATATCTTGAAAACTAGCAAGTTTTTCTCTAGCTACGATTTTGGATTTTGCATCAGGATAGCAGGAAAATTCAACAGATGGTACATGAAATTTCTGAAACAGGTTGTGATCCTGATATATTAAATTTCCCCAAAAATATTTAAACCACAATATTCTTCGAGACCAGAAGGGATTTTGGAATGTGTATCAGAGATTAGAGATAAAGGTCACACGTGAAATTCTCAAAATTCTCAAAATTTCGAAAAAAAAGTCTTGAAAAAGCGGGAAATTCTTGATAATAATAAAAAGTTTGAGAATTAGGACGTAAACAGTAACAATACGTCATGCTTATCGCACAATAAACCGCTATCGGGTGTTCTCCAATTGAAAACGAATTTCCAAATGATTGATTCTGTAATTAAAATTTCAATCAATGCTATCTTGATTCGATAAGGATGTCATCTATTGTCAGATTGATCTTATCTGACTTTCTACACACTATGTACTTTTAGCAGCAATTTCATGCTCTCGTTGAGAGACGCTTTTGCAATCTAGAATGAAAACTGATTATTTGGTGCAGATACGACACGATATATAAAATCTGCAAAATGACAAGTAACTTTAGTCGAAATAAATCAACATGCGCGTACTTTTCCTGTTTGCGACAATTCTTGTCGCGGCTGTCCTAGCCGTTGACCAAGAAACTCATCCCACCATGCAAGGGTACGTTTCGTTTTTTAAATAAATTATTCTTATTTCATAATTATTAGCAATAATGTATATTGTTTCTACAATTAATTGTGGAGGAATATAAAGATATCGGTAAGAAATTTAAGCTTAGGGTTTAAGGTTTCTTACAGTTTCGTTATTTATGAAACAGTCATTGATATAATATTCCAACATATGGCACCATTAAAGTATAATTAAAGTATAATTTTCAAGTGCAATTTAGATTTTGATATTCAAATAGTCCCCTTATTTGCAATTAATGAAATAGTAAAATCGATGAAACTATAAATGGTCATGGCATCTCAAAGTGATGAAACCATATATGCAATATAATGAAACACAAAGAGGTACCGTTCTTTTGAAAAATTGACAGGATGCAGAGTCTCTCTATTTCATACGATACGCCCGAACAATTTTCGTTGCTGAAAAATTACGTGGACGATCCTGGATTCGATTTTGTAAGAAGCACAAACGATCTCGTGGATGTTCTGGTGACGGCGGACAAAATCGAAGAGTTCAAACAACTCCTTGAGGAACACCGTATGAATTACACGGTTATGATCGAAGACGTTCAACAACTAGTTACAGAGCAGCTCATCAAACAGGAAGTGGAGCGTAGATTGCAAGCTAGAACTCAAGATTATGCTTCCGGAAGATTATCTTTCACTTATTATCCCAATTACAAGGAAGTAAGTAACATCAAAAATTTCAAAGATTACAAAAAAAAAGAAAAAGCAGAACTCGTGTGCACACGCGAGATATCGCATGAGTTAAATATGTTACTTTGTAATACNGTGATAAGTAAACGACAACGAAAAATTGTCGACAATTTAAATTTGGTGGTACTTTGGAAAAAAAGATCATTGGTCTCATTTTAAAGCGTGAAGCTTCTACTTTGATAGTCGTAAGATCATTCATGGAAGATAACTTAGTATCGTGTAGCGATAAGGCGAGAATATCCTGACTTTTCTACTCGCTGGATGACGCAAAATAATTTTCGAAAAAAACAAACTCAAAACTGTCAAAACAGAAGCTTCAGGCTTTGAAATAAATCTTTCCCTCTCGAAGTAGTATCGATTTAAATTATTAACAATGTTTCGATGTCAATGGTACAGTCACGGTAATAATAAAAATGAACTTAACGCGTTCACAGGTAAACGAGTACCTAACCTATCTGACACAGACCTACAAGAACATAGCCTCGTTAATTACCATAGGTAATTCTTACGAAGGAAGGTCGATGAAAGTTTTGAAGTTGTCGACTGGTGGCGCGAACAAGCCGGCCATTTTCATCGATGCTGGAATTCACGCCAGAGAATGGATCGCTCCAGCGACAGCTCTGTACATGGTAGATTTAATGCTACAAAACCACAGAGATCTCCTGACCAAGGTTGATTGGTACGTCCTGCCAGTTTTGAATCCAGATGGTTACGAATACACGCACAGCTCGTCAGCGGTAAGTTAATACCGCTGCATGTCGTATAAATTAGTTTGTTCGTTGTAAAATGCTCTAAACGATGTAATACGCTCGACAGAACCGATTATGGAGGAAAACAAGATCGAACACGGGCTCGACTTGCAGGGGTGTCGATGGAAACCGAAACTACGACATGCAATGGATGAGTAAGTTTCCATTTTCCATTTATGATCCAATTAAATAATCATATCTAAAGCAGACGTGTTACAAAGTGTCACGTTCGATAAAGAAACTGATGGCGAGTAATAATTAAATCAATCCCCGTTCCGGTCGATTAAAGCTTTGTTCCATTTTTAATAACTATTTCAATGATACTGCGGCTCGCGTCAAACGAACAACGTGATCGTAGATAACTTATCATCGGCATCGATCAGACACTTGATTCGATCGAGAAAATATCGCGATAAAAGAGGAACGTAATTGGATAAATAATTTTTGTTCATCTACTTGTTCAGAATAAATTGACTTCAATGAACTCGTCTATGTGAAGCAAAATCGGAAAGTTTCGTCACGGATTAATTAACGGGACGTTATTGAATAGGGACGGTGCAGAGAAATGACTATCTTGCAAGTAATTTCACGAAAATGGAAGTTCATGCTGTTAGCTGTCACGTTTTTCTCTTTATCAACGTTGTATAGCTGTCGCGTGAAGTGTAGTGTGTCACGATTAACTCGATCATTGCTCTCTCAAGTTATGATTGAACGTGATAAAAACACGCTCGCTATTTCTCTACCTCTCTTCTGATAAGCTGACTTGTGAGAAGTTTGCGAGTTATTCCGTGAAGCAATTCGAAAATCGTGTCGATCGTGGATCTCACTACGCTAATAATGTCGCGTCTTCGTTTGTCATCTTTCGAAACAACGATTGACCAATATTGAACTTGCATCAGATTCAGCAAACAGGCAAAGAAGATTTTGCATACATAATATACAGCTGTTATTAACACTTCTTTATCGTTCAGTTTTCATCTACTTTGTTTCTCATCTGTCGCCTCTCAACTCCAGTTTTCCCTGTTCTGTAATGTCTTTCATTCCTATTGATTGAAACTCTTAATTCGTAGCAACTGGCGCGTCCAATAATCCGTGCAGCGACACTTACGCCGGGCCTAAACCGTTCTCCGAAGTGGAGAACCAACACTTGAGGGATTTCATTTTGGCACGGAAGGGACAGATCAAGGCCTACCTTACGTTCCATTCCTACGGCCAGGTAACCGATCAAATTTTAATTTAAAGGGATCAAGCTTTAATCTTAATTTAATTTTTTTCTGAACGCTCCGAACAAATTGAAAAGCGGAACACTTTTTAATCCTGCTTGCTTGCTGGTCACGTATTTGTACTCCATAAATTTTTATGGAGTACAGTCGAAAAATTACTCTCGTCGCACACAGAACATAACGGAACGTCGAACGCTGGGAATTGTCGCTTTTTTTTCTATTCGCAAACGCGATTTATCAAAGCAATAATGTACGAAATTATACGATTTTTGCAGTACATCTTGTACCCCTGGGGCTGGACATCCAACGTGCCCGCTAACGAACCAGAGCTGGTTAGTAAATTGCTGATAAACATTATCGCTTCTGCGATAATGCATTTTGTTACAAACAATATCTTCACTTTGCTTTCTCTTCTTTTTTAGCGTAATCTTGCTAGCCAATGTGCACAAGCTATTGCCAAGTCTCGCAGAACTCGATACACTTATGGAACTTCAGCTAATGCACTATGTGAGTAATTGATTGTTCTGAATTGATCTGCGAGATAACCTATCATCATTTATCAAATTTCTGTCATCGAAACGATCATTATTTGCTTATTCATTTTTTTCTTTTTCTAATCTTATCTTCAACAGTTTGCTTAGTCCATCCAGTTTACTTACTCTTCTTTCAAAATTATTAGATCCAGCTGCTGGCGGCAGCGACGACTGGGCTCTGGGCAAAGCGAACATCAAATTGTCATTTACCTACGAATTGCCCGGTGGAAATTCTGGGTTCTTGTTACCAGCGTCTGAGATCAAACCCGTTGGTATCGAGACGTTCGAGGCTCTCAAAGTGACCCACCAATACGTCACGTCGAAATACTCTTCGCATTAGTGAAATTGAAACTGTAGGCTTGTTGTAAAGGGTGCGACCATTTCGATTTTGTATCGCGGAAAGCAGTAAAAGTCCCAAAATAAATTACGTCAAATTGTTTTCGTACATTCTTTCTTTCTTTCGGCGTGGAAATGAATCGAATTTGCGGAGCGGAGCACTTATTTTGAGAAAACAGCCATGTCGGTTCCTCGTTGACCCAAAATGGTCGACTAATTCTTGTATCACGCAAAAGAAAAAAATAATCGGAAGGAGAAAGGAATCGCGGTATACTAGTGTTTACATTTAAAAATGAAGAGTCTACCGCTGAAGAAAAACCATTAGATGTGGCGAGTACTTTCTTCAATTTTTCCCGCGTTTCTTAGATGGCCATCGAAGGAAAGCAACAATGCTTGGAATAATGTGAAATGAGAAGACAGCCTGAAGGATTTTATCGGACTGAACACTTTGCACGCAGAGCTCAAATTGATCAAACTGTTATGCCTCATTTTTCGAGTATCTTTTCTCTTTTCAAGAAATTGCTTTCTGTACAAGTGTAAATCGTGACTCGTGTGATTTAGATCTACTTCATGTCTCCTTTTTGATTAAATATTTTTGATTAGATCTATTCTAAGTATATTTTTCCTGTGTTTCAATAAATAAAAAATCATTTTAAAAGTATCGATTTTACCATTTTTAACGAGAAACTCATTAATGAAGTCGTAAAACGTATTCATATTGAGCTTTTCTTGAGATACACGTAAATACATAATCTAAAGTGGTATAAAATTGTAGTTTGGAATCTAAAGATACTATTTAATAAAACTGTAACGGATTTCATTTATTTAAATAATAATAATGATTTATTTAACCACTTTACTTGCTTCATTTCACTTGGTAGAGTTCTCCAGTTCATTATTGCTTAGGCGAAGTGTGTTTTACAAACCTAATGATTTCTTTCCTGGTTGATGTTTCCGACACACGAAATTCTATTTCACGTCCAGTCTATTCTATCTTTAGTCAATGCTACAATAAAACTCGGAAATTACTATCTTACTCTTGTGCAAAGTAAAATAATGGAAAAATATATTGCTGCCATCTCTCGTGAAGGTTCACAAGTAAGAGGCATATGACACATTTCGTCATCTGACGGAACATAGTAAAATACAGAGAGTGAGGAATGTGGCTAACAGTGAATGCAATCGCACATGTAGCTCCGCTACAAACTTTGGGACATTCCCGAGAGATGGCAGAACGCAATATGTTCCCAAATAAAGAAAGAAAATTATGAACGATAAAGACAATGGTATGAAAATTCTGCTACTCTCAAGACGCTACGTGTTTCAGAGACGAAGAATTTAAATATTATTATTTCAGAGACTAGTATTTAAGCTCCAATGTCTCGTAAACTAGGAGGTATTCCTAGCTCCGATTATGGATTTTGCATCAGGATAGCAGGGAAATTCAACAGATGGCACATGAAATCCCAGGAACACGTTGTGATCTTGATATATTAAATTTTTCGAAAAATATTTAAACCACAGTATCTTCGACATCAGAAGGAATTTTGGAATGTGTATCAGAAGAACATAAGGTTTAAGAACGTGGCACGTAAAATTCTTGAAACTATGCTGCTGGTATTCCAAAATTTCGAAAAATATTGAAACCTCAATTATCTCTGAAATCAGGAGGTATGCTTGGTTGATATTTTAGATTTTACATCTTGTATCAAGGTTGTAATATATATATAATTTATATATATAGAAACAACTTATATGGATATTTTAGGGGATTAAATGGCTTTATTCATGTTATAGTATATCTACGTAGATATATATTTATTTTTAGAGCGTAATAATTTGTTAGAATATAACACACGATATTATATCTATATATGTACAAAGTATGGGTTTCTAAGGATTAATGATTTCTATATTGTAAATCTAAGTATATAAAAATTAACCGAAATAAAACAATTAGTCTCGCAGTAAACAATCAATCAATCCTATCTCACTCCGATACGGATATCATCTTTTGTCAGATTGATCTTCTTTGACTTTTTTATATACTACGTACTTTTAGTAGCAATTTCATGCTCTCGTTGACAGGCGCTTTTGCAATCTACAAAGAAATCTGATTGCTTCGTTAAGATACGACACGATATATAAAACTTGAAAAATGATGAGTAGCTTTAGTCGAACTAAGTCAACATGAGCGTAATTTTCCTATTTGCGACAATTTTTGTCGCGGCTGTCCTAGCCACTGGCCACCAAACTCATCTCTCCATGCAAGGGTATGTTTCTTTTTTATTTCATAATTACTAGCAATAATATATATCGTATCTAGGATTAATTGTGCAAGAATGTAAGACCATTGATGAGAAGTTTAAGCGATTTCTTAAAGTTTCGTTACTTGTGAAATAATTGATTTCATATTTTAAAATGTGGCGCCATGAAAGTGTTTCCAAGTGCCATTTAGATTTTGACAGACAAACAATCCCATTACTTGCCATTAATTTCACTGTATGATCGATGAAAGTACAAATGAATGAAATTCAAATAGATGAAACTCAACAAATCTCAAATTGATGAGATTGTATATGGAATAAAATGAGATACAAAGAGGTATTGTTCTTTTGAAAAATTGACAGGATGCAGAGTCTCTCTATTTCATACAATACGCCCGAACAATTTTCGTTGCTGAAAAATTACGTAGACGATCCTGGATTCGATTTTGTAAGAAGCACAAACGATCTCGTGGATGTTCTGGTGACGGCGGACAAAATCGAAGAGTTCAAACAACTTCTTGAGGAACACCATATGAATTACACGGTTATGATCGAAGACGTTCAACAACTAGTTACAGAGCAGCTCATCGAACAGGAAGTGGAGCGTAGATTGCAAGCTAGAACTCAAGATTATGCTTCCGGAAGGTTATCTTTCACTTATTACCCCAATTACAAAGAAGTAAGTAAGGTCAAAAATTTCAAAGTTTAGAAAAAAAAAAGGCAGAACTCGTGTGCACACGGGAGGTATCGCATGAGATACAAATATGTAACATTTGATGTTACTTTGTAATAAGTGATAAGTNAAACGACAACGAAAAATTGTCGACAATTTAAATTTGGTGGTACTTTGGAAAAAAAGATCATTGGTCTCATTTTAAAGCGTGGAGTTTCTACTTTGACAGTCGTAAGATCATTCATCGAAGATAACTTAGTGTCGTGTAGCGATAAGGTGAGAATATACTGATTTTTCTACTCGCTGGATGACGCGAAACAATTTTCAAAAAAAACAAACTCGAAACTCGTCAAAATAAAAGCTTCAGGCTTTGAGATAAATCTTTCCCTCTCGAAGTAGTATCGATTTAAATTATTAACACTGTTTCAATGTCAATGGTACAGTCACGGTAATAATAAAAATGAATTTAACGCGTTCACAGGTAAACGAGTACCTAACCTATCTGACACAGACCTACAAGAACATAGCCTCGTTAATTACCATAGGTAATTCTTACGAAGGAAGGTCGATGAAAGTTCTGAAGTTGTCGACTGGTGGCGCGAACAAGCCGGCTATTTTCATCGATGCTGGAATTCACGCCAGAGAATGGATCGCCCCAGCGACAGCTCTCTACATGGTAGATTTAATGTTGCAAAACCACAGAGATCTCCTGACCAAGGTTGATTGGTACGTCCTGCCAGTTTTGAATCCAGATGGTTACGAATACACGCACAGCTCGTCAGCGGTAAGTTAATACCGCTGCATATCGTATAAATTAGTTTGTTCTTTGTAAAATGCTCTAAACGATCTAATACGCTCGACAGAACCGATTATGGAGGAAAACAAGATCGAACTCGGGCTCGACTTGCAGGGGTGTCGATGGAAACCGAAACTACGACATGCAGTGGATGAGTAAGTTTCCATTTTCCATTTATGATCCAATTAAATAATCATATCTAAAGCAGACGTGTTACAAAGTGTCACGTTCGATAAAGAAACTGATGGCGAGTAATAATTAAATCAATCCCCGTTCCGGTCGATTAAATCTTTGTTCCATTTTTAATAACTATTTCAATGATACTGCGGCTCGCGAACAGCGTGATCGTAGATAACTTATCATCGGCATCGATCAGACACTTGATCCGATCGAGAAAATATCGCGATAAAAGAGAAACGTAATGCGATAAATAATTTTTATTCATGTTGTGCAGAATAAATTGGCCATGATTTCAATGAACTCGTCTTTCTGAACCGAAATCGGAAAGATCTGTCGCGGACAAATTAACGGCATGTTATTGAAAGGACACGGTGTAGAGAACCGACTATCTTGCAAGTAATTTCACGAAAATGGAAGTTCATGCTGTTAGCTGACACGTTTTTCTCTTTATCTACGTTGTGTAGCTATCGCGTGATGTGTAGTGTGTCACGATTAACTCGATCATTGGTCTCTCAAGTTATGATTGAACGTGATAAAAACACGCTCGCTATTTCTCTACCTCTCTTCTGATAAGCTGACTTGTGAGAAGTTTGCGAGTTATTCCGTGACGCAATTCGGAAATCGTCTCGATCGTGGATCTCACGCTAATAATGTCGCGTCTTCGTTTGTCATCTTTCGAAACAACGATTGACCAATATTGAACTTGCATCAGATTCAGGAAGCAGGCAAAGACGATTTTACATACATAATATACAGCTGTTATTAACACTTCTTTATCGTTCAGTTTTCATCTACTTTGTTTCTCATCTGTCGCATCTCAACTTCAGTTTACCCTGTTCTGTAATGTCTGTTCATTCCTATTGATTGAAACTCTTAATTCGTAGCAACTGGCGCGTCCAATAATCCGTGCAGCGACACTTACGCCGGGCCTAAACCGTTCTCCGAAGTGGAGAACCAACACTTGAGGGATTTCATTTTGGCACGGAAGGGACAGATCAAAGCCTACTTTACGTTCCATTCCTACGGTCAGGTAACCGATCAAATTTTAATTTAAAGGGATCAAGCTTTAATCTTAATTTAATTTTTTTCTGAACGCTCCGGACAAATTGAAAAACGGAACACTTTTTAATCCTGCTTGCTTGCTGGTCACGTATTTGTACTCCATAAATTTTTATGGAGTACAGTCGAAAAAT